GATCCCTGGGGAACACCACTGGTGATCGGATTTGCCTGCTGCACGCTAAACTCAAATTAGAGTTTGTACATAATTTAAAATCATCAAATTGTTCCAACTTGACTGAATTTGGATTTATAAAAGTTCGTCTTGAAAAATCTTCTACATCTTTAACCAAATGAGGGATAGAGGCTGCTGTTCTAATTTAAGAGTTTCCTTCAGCAGCACAGACACATCTGTACACCACAGATGGTTACAAAAATGGTAGGCTTATCTCATCCTGTACAAGATAGCATCTGCAAAACTGTGACACCACTGACACTAACAAAATTAACTATTAGAAGCAATTAAATTAGCCAGTTCATAATCATACTGTCAGCTAGAAATGCAGCTCCTAAATGCAGTGTTCTTTTGACAGCAAATGTACTTAACTGTAAACTTAAAAGTACACTTCTGTAACATAAACTTAAGTCAGACTTGACCTAAATGGTCTGACAACATTATAACCCACAGAACAGACACCAAGAAACCAGCCTGAGAAGAAATCCCATCCTGTAGGGAACAGCCGTGACAGCTAAGTATTAGGCTATGAAGACAAAAGATGCTATTGGCTCCCAAACAGGTTAAAAGGTAAAAGAATAACTCATTGCCAAACACTGTTTTGGAAAAAAAATCACAAATTAATAAGCAGAAAGTCTATAATCTTGTATTAACACTGTATGTGTATCTATTGATGCACTTTACAGAGTATGACAATAGCACTGATCTATTTTTCACAAAGGGTTAGAGGCAAAGCACAAAGACACTGCTCATTTCAATCCAGTTTAGCACAAAAGCTCTTTGTCTAGCTAATATGAAAGTGAAACTATTAAGAACTTCACAAGCATGTAGTTCTGTTTTGATAATTCCTATTAGAAACTGTTCATACGGATCAGTAAATCACACTTAAAGAGCAATTATTTGTCACTATAAAGTATCTGACCCATGATCATGTAGTATAGGAAAAAAATAATTATTTAAAAAAAAAAAAAAGCTATTTTAAAACCAAGGTGCAATATTTCCTGCCCACACTCACTGACCATTTGAAATTCCACATGATGAAAAAAGGATCCCCTCACCACTCTGCAACTTCACAAGGGTTCTCAGCTGAAGTCCTGATGCTTTTTACCCTTTGCTACATGTCTTACTGAACCAAAATGGAAGACAGGTAGACCTGCTCCATTTTATTATTATTGCAGCTCAGCAGAAAAGTTCCTCTTTTTGTTTTAAAATATAACCCCACAGTACGTCAAAATTCAATTCTAGTTGCAGTTATAAATGTGTAACTAGAGTAACATTTAAATTACGGACTGTTTTTGTAATAAACTTATTCTGTTAGTAGTTGGTTTAATAGTTACATGTAAAATGTTTTAGGACACAAACAAAAAACTGAACCTATCTGTACTAGTAATTCTTATATGACCGCTTATTACATTAATTTAGTAAAGCAACAAACCCCCCAGTAGTCAAAAGTATTTGCTTTTCTTTAAGAACACTGGGAGGCAAATGTCCAAGAGCTTTGTTAAAGTATGGCTTATCTCTTGAAACAGTTTGCTTACAATAACGAGGCTTCAATAGTTCCATGCACGTTTGTTAGGATCTCCCTCTTTGGTTTAGAAATATAGTGCATGTTTTGGTAGCATAAATCTCACCTTCTAGGAAGCCAGTGTGGTCTAGTGGGTAAAACAGGGACTGGGAGAAAAGCTGGGATCCTATCTCCAGCTCTGCCACTGACTTGTGTGACCAGGGCAAGTCACTTAACCCTTCTGCACATCAGTTTCCCCATCTGTAAAATGGGGATAATGATACTTACCCACCTTTTAAAGTGCTTGATAATCTAAAGAGGAAAGGCGTTAGGTAAACAGCGTAATATTGTTCCATAGTGACCTAACTTAAGGCCAGAATTTCACTTTTTCAATAGGATTATAAAAAGGTCAACAAATCAAAGAAACTTATCTGCATTTTTTTGGTGCATAGACACTTGGGAATTCTAAATGCCTTTGTCTAGAAAAAGAACAACAATGAAATACGTCCAGAAAGTAATAAAGTTAGCATTAAAGACTTGTTTTAAACTATTTAATAAAATAAAAACCAAAAGGTCCATAAATCATACCTGTTAAAGCTGCTGGTTTGGACAGTGTACTATACTGGTTCTGAGTAGATATTACACTTTGACGAGGACTTAATGTGGGTGAAGAGACCAATGAAAGTTCCTCTATAATAATACTGCTTTTGGGATGGTTTTTAGGAAGTTCATTCAATCTCTGTTCCAGTGAATACTTCAACAGGTCCAGCTTCTGGCTTGATTCATTAAATCTTGCTTGTGCCTTTTTAAAGTAAAAAAAAGTTGAAATATTTCAATTCTTTTTTTTTTTCTTGAAAGAACATTTAAAATAATGTATGAGAAATTGTAAGGATGTAAATTACTTCTGAAAGTGCCTTTCTGTCGGTAACTTTCCCAGATCCAAGTAATTTCATCACATTTTTTGCACCTTCTGCTACAGCATACTCTATCCTAAAATGATGCCGTAATTCTTCCATTCGGAGTTCAAGAGGGCTTATCACAGGTTTTGCTGCAAAGAGATATAAACAAACAATCTTCATTGAAGACCATGCCCGTGTTTCATTTCTTTAATATTAACCCCTCTCCCAAATAGACAGAGATGAGGGGAGAAAAAAAAAAAAAAAGAAAAAAGAAAAAAGGAGTGGGATGCAGATTTAGTAGTCCAAAGAAAAGCTTCAAGTATGTCATAAAAGCAACAGTGAAATTTTAAGCATCTGTATTTGAAGGAAGAAATAATTGATCAGGGCCTCAATCCAATAAACAGACCCTACTCCTTGAAGAGCTACAATTGCTAGAAGATGTGAGAAAAATAACATGTCTCCAGGGGAGCTAAGGGACAAAAGCCAAATCTCCCAAACATCATTCAGCTGGCAAGAAGGAGGCTGAGACTTCTACATTTCTGAACCACGCTTTGAGGATTTATCTTCCAAACTACTCCATAGCTAAGTAGATCCCTGATTGGTTTCTGATTAATTCTTCTGCTTCACACAAAATCCCAGGGAATCTGCCTTCTGACAGCACAGATAACGTAGGAGGCTCGATACACTGCTTTCCCCAAATGGTTTGGGTTAATTATTCTAATGTCCACTGCTTACAGTGTTTAGATCTCCTACACAGAATTAGAAAGTTTCCTGGATATATTCCTTTCTGTTTAAAGATCTAAGAATAGCAGGAACACAAAAAGGCATTTGAAAGCCCTTTCTAGCTTGAATACCTTTCTTTTTCTTTTGAGTAAATGATATACATAATCCACATGCTAAGATGGGGTGTTAATAAGAGCCAGAAGTGTCATAAGTGTAAAAACAAACAACAAAAACCAACCCCCCCACACCCAACAAAACAAAACACACACGCACATGTTCTTCATTATCTAGGATACATCCAGGCCCTAATTATGAGCATTGTTATATAACTTCAGTACTTGGAAATGCATACGAATAAAGTTCAAGACTTAGAGATATACCAATATGCCCACAATTTTATAGTGCAGTTGTGCTATTATAGCTCAGGGGTAATCTTTTTAAAATTTTGAGATTTCCAAAGAAATGCAAGTTTAGAACTATTTCTGAAATGTAACATCAGTGTTTCAAGTCATGTCATTTTAAAAACACTTCTTTTTTGTTTTTAAAATAGTTGCTTAGTACTCAATCTAGCCTAAATACCCATAAACACAGCAAAAATTTGCCTCCATCTGTGCTCCCATTAGTAATAATCAGGTCAATCTATTTAAGTATGACAAGCAGGCTTTGTATCTGCATCTGATTTTTTTTTAAGATAGTGAAAAGATTATATGCTTTAAAAAAAATTACTAATTATTGTTGAAGACAAAAGAAAGCATGCATGAAGGGAGAATGAAGACCACAAAGCAAAAATGGACTGCATAAGGTATGAGCTTAAGGTATTTTGCTTCAAGTCAGATGTATTTGGCATCCTAACACACAAAATAGTATGCCTAATCTCCAGTTATCTTTGGTTCATGCAAGCTTTGTCCAACATTCCTACTAGAAGTTTATAACTTTGTGTGCATATGGGTACATCTCTACGTGGCATTCTGACATTAACGATTTTTATTTCCTTTTCTACTCCATCACCATTATCAAAAGCCAATTCATTGGTCTGGACTGCCTGAAGAATCTGCATCCTTATAACTTCTATTTTTGTCTTGCTGTCCTGAAGCATCTGCTGAGCTGTGGCAAGAAGTTTTCGATCCTATTAAAACAAATAAACAAGATAAAATCATAAACTCTTCATGGAACAAAGCACATTAAAAGCTTCAAAACCCACATGCTTTAGGAACAAGAACTAAATCTATGCAGTTCATTCAGTATAGCAGCCCAATTCAACTAACCATATTAGGATATTAGTGGAAATTAAATCAAGACAGAGGCATATTCTGGTTGATTAAAGACTACAGGCCACTCCCATGGAAACTGTATCTGTTTAAAGCTGAATAAAGAAGGGATGCTTTAGCAACATTACATGTGTAAATTAATGTTTTGTAAGCTGATACTAAGTGCCAAAAACCTCTGCCCTATGTGGAATGATTCAAATTTACTGTATCATGAGAACTCTTCTAGTAGATAAATTTGCTATACTAAATCCATGTCAAAATCATTGTACTAATTCACTTGAGCTTACATAGCACATTATAAATAAGCCTGCAGTATGTTTTTCTGAACGAATCAAAGCTGAAGATTTTTTTTGCATTAATAAATACACAACATACGAGGGTTACGTCATTAGCTATTTCATTAGCAACTTAAAGTACAGTATTTTTCATCTAAATAACTAAGCTAACCGATTTTTGTTTTCAAAAGCAGTAACACAAGAAGCAGTTTAGAAGAACATTTCTGAAGATGAACTTTCAAACCAACTGATAATACCATTTCATTGTCAGGAGTGCAGACAGCCACCCATGTTTCTCAGGTATATCACTTTTTGTCCTCCAGCTACTGGAGATCTGATTTACGAAGTATTATCAAATGGTTCTTGGATGTGGAACTGCGCATGTGCTTCTATGGTTGCTGCACAGTTCTCTCTATGTTCTGGGAATTACTAGATAACCTAAAGGTGATCTGACATGCAGTAAGAACAAAAAAAAGGGTATAATAAAATTTAAGACAGTCTATTTGTCCTGTCTGTGCAGCAACAATTAATCACAGTAATTAATAGTAGTCGGTGTAGATGGCTATCATGCTTGTTATAGCCCAAAGGGTATTTTGGTTAACTCATTTTGCAGCCACTCTATAACCTCATTAATAAGTATAAACCATCTCCATGGGAAAGTAACTTATATTTTAATTTTGTAATGAAGTTATCAATTATTTAAGAAGTAAAAGAAATGCAATTCTTCATCCTTAGATGCTGTTCTAAGACAGAGAACAGCAGTGTAGCATAGATAACCAGAGCTAGAAATACTGGCACCATGAAGTATACAGTGAGAAAAATCAGTATTCTGCGAAGAGAGAAATTTACCTTCCTAGAGCTCCTTTATGACCTTGCACCTAATCTATTCTTCACTCAGATATTTTAATGCTGCCCTATGTTCTGCCCGGTAGATACACCAAGATATACACAGAAAAAGGCTTCAGCTGTATGGGGAAAAATTGTGCCCCCCCTGCATACCACAGTCTCAGAACTCTTGGTTTTAGGTTTTATTATTAGTCAACATTTCAGACAGATACCACTGTTTTCATATTTTAAGATTCCATGTTAGCTATCCAATTATTTAATGAGTACACTGATTTTCCTAAATAAATGCCTTCTCAAATACAAACGTCAACATTTGAAATAACCACCCTCTACAGCAGGGTACAGGATCTAAGTAACAGATTACAAGTGACTCTAGAATCCTGTATTAAACCTTATCCATGCATCATTCTGATGTATAAATGCACTGTGTTTCTTGTATCTTCACTTTTATCTTATTTTTGATCTTTCTGCTCTTGATTGTCCCTCATATCCTCTTACTGCAATGGATTTGCTTGCTCAGGGACAATATCAGCCCTTCACTGTGTAGAATAGAGGTAATTGAGAACTATAGAGATATCCTCATGTTTTCAAGAGACAGAAAATCCCATCTTCAGGATCAAAATGGATGTGTTATACTCAGCAGCTCTTCTAGTGTTGGAGGTTGAATACAAAGTATTTTAAGGCATCTCCCAAGTATAGAAGAATTGACTGTGCCTGTAAAACTGATCTGCAGAGCTGTCATGGGATCTCAGAGAATCCATACAAGTCCAAGGAAAGATGAATAATATCTCAGAAACACTTAAGTCCAAATAGGTTGAGATGAATGTTACTGAAGCGAGTAAGTACAAAGGGAAAACCTTCCCAGGACATGATGGGTTTATTACTATGAACAGACTGCTTTTTCATTTTTAAGAAACAAATGATGACCTCCCTAAATTTAGGTCTGAAAATAAGACAACAAATTTGAAATTAGATCATATAGTACACTTGAAGAAAGGTTCAAAAGAGTTTAGAATGTTTTAAAGAGGGTACTTTTTAAAGACCTACTGGATTACTGGGGTTGGATTCAACCAGGGAATTCTCTGCCCCTTTTGCCCACCTCATCCAGATGCTTAAGTTGTTTTAAGCTCTCCTTTTTAAAGCGTAATCACAATGCTCAAGCTTACAGTTCAAACCTGCCAAATTAACTCACTACTGAGTATTAAGAACATGAGAGAATGAATACGCACCATTTCCATCCTGTTTGTTGAAGCAGCTGGCAAAGGTTTGTGTTTTCCAGCTTGCTCTCCCCAGCCCAGTTACTATATACACCCAGTCTGGTAGGCTTATTTAAACATTTACCAATTGCAAATACAAGATTCAATCATCAATTTTAATTACATGCCTCAATCATAAAGCAAGCCAGAATTTATCCTTTCTACCTAGTCTGATCAAAGCCTGCTAACAATGTCTAGTATTATAGCCCGAGTGTTTAGTTAAGTTTTTTCAGGCTGTTATAAGGTTACTTGCTGAGGGTTTATTAGGAATGTAATTCACATATGCCTTTTGACCCATTTGGGTCAGCCAATTATTGTTTTTAAGTGTACCTGATACTAAGTACATGGCCCCAAAGGATGCAGACTCCAGGGTTACCAGGGCCCAAGGGATGTGGTGCCCGGACAGCATTCCCAGGCCCTTAGTCATAAGGTGCACTCCAGATATTTCTTCCATCTGCCCCAGGCTAGCAGGTTACAGGCCACTTTCAGGTAAGGCTACCCAAGTACCAGCTGGTTCAACAGAAGTGCTGCTGGGACAGAATGAGCTTGATGGCATCTATGGTCCATCTAGTCTAAATTAATTTTTCTGGGAGTAAGCAACACTGACTCTAAGTTTTGTTAGGTATAAGAAAGTCAAACAGTAGGCAGATACAAAGTAATCTGCCTCTCCACCAGTCTGAGCAGAAATTCACTCAGAAATATGAAATTGCTTTCCAACACTTTTGGTTACTATCAGTAATACAGGGTAGCAACACAACTCACAGATTTTACTCTTCAAGTCAAACACTTCTTTTTAATAAGTTCACTGACCTAGCTAGGTGTTGGGTCAGTCAGTTAAGAACTGAAAACATTTCAATTTTATTTACAATTGTCTGGACTCGGAAACATCTAACCAAGCTACTGCACACTATTTGTTAGATCTATCCTTGTCTTTGCCCTTAGTTTGTAAATTAATCTCCTGAATGATTTAGTAAAAGTAAATGTAAAGAACAGGTGAGTAACTAATTAAGGGTGAAGGGGCAGAAGAGGATCCTCCCCTTTTTCTCATTTGAGAACTATGACTCCCTTATACTTTTGGATTTTTGGTGTTTTTTTAGTTGGTTTTTTTTCAATTTAAAAGGTTTGTCTTGTCTTTCAGTTCAGTTACGGGATTCTTAGTATATGATGAATTTTATTACATTGTTAGGACTATGCAATAAGTCAAACCCATTTAGGGGTTAGCAATCTGTTCCCCCCCACATCCTCCCTGCAGAGCTTCTGGTGTGATCAAGAGAAAGAGTGCAAGTGAGAATGTGTTTAAAGTTCAGATCTACAAATAAGTGTGGCTTTATTTTTTATTTCAGTTTGTTGCTATCAGATGCTACCTCTAGAATACCACACTTCTGTAAAAAAAGTATGTTTATGTGTATTTTATGTGCATGTGTACTAATGCAGATTATAACAACTCTACCAGAATACTACACACAACTTATTAAAACAAATACTTGGTACAAATGTTTTTACTGCCAACTACAACTAGATGACCGTTTCAGAAGCACACACAGTGATGCTGCCTTCTGTGTAATTATTGTACACATTACAACTTTAAACTAATGGATTTTTTTTTCAGTCGAGCTAGGAAAAGCATCAGATACCAGTCAGTGTCATACCAAGCTTTGCTGCTAAGTGAATCACACATGATCAAAGATTACTAGATGTACTAAATTTAGTAAGCCGGATTTGTTATTTAGGTTGAACTACATGTGGACAAATTGATAAAACATTCACTTGAATGGGTATCAAACCACAACAAAAAATGATATAGTAATTTGTAGCAGATTTGACATAACTACTTCATAAAAATACACCCCAAACTAAAAGCACGGAAATTGGATACTGTTTAAAACCTTGTACATTCACACCACAGCAATATGAATGAAAACCCACAATAATTTCATGTTCTTTAAGCATTCCAAAGCCTTACCTTTGAAGAGCCATTTGAGTACATCTGTATCATATTTTCTGCTCCCTGTTTTACCTTCAGTTCTATATCCAATTGCTTCTTTAAGGCCATCAATCTGTTGTTAGTAGGAAAACGAGGATCGCTATTTGGAGTATCAGGAGTTCTAGGACAGTCTGTGAATTAAAGGTAAGATGTAATGTGTCCAGGAAAAAAAAGAAAGAAAAAAACAAACTCACAAAACACAAAACCCTCCCCCCCCCCCCCCCCCCCAAAATCTGTTCTGTTACATTATAGATTAAACAAAGCTGGAACATCATACTTAAGTATTAAGACTGACCCTCCTGTCCAGAGCTACTTTGCAAGAGCACTGCAAATGCGCCTTAACATGAAAAGCCTCACGAAAGCCCAGTGACTCCTACATGTCCTAATTCACATGAATCACTTCCGGGAGTGGTAACGTAGGCAGGTTTGCAGCTAGGTCTATTTTTGTTTCAAAGGAGATTTGTTTCTTCTGGAATGTTTAGAGTCAATTAAAAAAATGCAGGTTGCCATTAAGCTTTCTTACACTCCTGATTTTAAATCTAAGTGCTTTAAAACAAACAAACTTGGACAATAATATTCAATACTAATGAGCATGGTCTAAATACACACATTATTAAGTAGGTCCTCATTGATTCTAGTGTGAGCACTGCAGACGTGGTTTATATCAAAATTAAGAATAGATTAAAAAAGACTTTTCCTTAGTCATAAAGCTGAACAATTTTTGCTCTGGAATAATAACAGTATCCTGGGATAACTGGATAACACTGAACAACTGTGATCTGTGGGAAGTTTTATCAATTAAATTATATAGTGAAACTCCTTAATTTTTCTATCCTTCTCCAGAAAAGTCTATTAATCACTCGTTCTTATTTCAGTTTCTGCAACATGAACTGTTAGCGAACTGAAAAGAAGTGGCCACTGGACTATTTCCTAGTACTTCACTATTTCCAACACAACCATCCTTTTAGCTAACTATCTTCCCTAATAGTCCCAATGGCTTCTCTTTCAAACTTTTTGTAAAAGAGGATAAATTATGTCCCCTGTAATAATGTTTTTTGTTATTGATTTCTTTTATCCCAACAACCGAGAGAATACCTTCTCTATAGGCAAATAACATTAACAAATGGCAAATAACATTAGTCTTCTGAAAGACAATATTTACCCAATACCAACAGTACAGTCTTTTTCCAATTTTAATTAATTTTCCTTGATTTAAAGCTAGGATGATGGATCAAGTTCCTGAAATCCTCTATTACTAGAAAACAGCATTGCACTAGTAACTTACAAATTATTAGTTACGAGGTGTCATGGGGAGAAAGTGTCTCATCTGCCATTTCATATTTTTTTCTGCAGAAGCTTCTGATAACTAATTTTGGAAATCTAATATATTTTACTTTTAAGTTTGCTGTGTAATTTCCTCCTAAATTGCAATATTTGCTGAAGCTACATATATATTTCCTGTAAGGAGAAGTTTTAATTTCCTCTGCTGCTAATTCACTCTTCACTTCAAGCCACTTCAACACTCTTACTGCATACTCACTACTTAAAGGTAGTATAGAAAATACCAGATGTTTAAATATAAATAAAGTGATATAAATAAATAAGTAATCTGTGTTATTCCTCATGTGTTTTGTCATTCATCCTCTCCTCAGTGTTTTGGCTTGGTTTCTCTGTGAAACATTACACTTGAACAGATTTACCTTAAATCTGTTACTAATAAAACAAAAATTAACAACATGCTTTCCTCTCACTTATATCTTCACATTCAACTAATCCTCATCTAATAATCTATTCAAAACTAGAACAAACGTGAAACTTGAAAGCCACAGTTTCAAGTCTCATTGTAAAGTAGATTAATCGCTTAAATTAATATTTACCAACTTTAGATTTATGATGCAGGCCTCTTCCACTTAAAGATCCAGCCCTCTGATGATCCCTGGGAAGACTGTTGTGCTCCTGAAGCCTGTTTTCACAGCTTTTAAAGATGCATACAAGCAGTCTTCCTTTGCATTAAAACAACACTCAAGTTGCAAGTCAAGGACTAATTAGAGATACCAGGGTTCAGGCTGCCCAGCAGCTGTTATTATCTCCCTTTGCATGTCTGCGCTGTGAAGGTGTAACCACATCACTTCCCATCTCAAGAGCTGGTCTGCACTTGTGTACCTAAACTCCCCTCTGCCTCTCAGTGTAAGTGGTTCTACTATGTGCTTTGTTAGCAACCAGCAAAGGAAACTTCTGCAGTATGGACTAATTGCTTGGAAGAAATATTTTTTTTGCTTTCAGGCATAATAGATGCTCACTAAACTCCTGAACATGGAACAATATAGTTTCTTAACATAGATTTTTTTTTTTAAAGAAAAAAAGAAAACAGTGTTTACTAACAGCTTTTCAGAAATAGCTTCCAAGTGACTCCTTCTCACCCTCGACCTCGTTACAATTCAGTAAGCAGCCTGAGGCAGCTTCTTATAGAAGAATTCAGATTAAAGTTTTAAGTCAGCCGGACAAACTGGTCCTATTATGGAAAGCACTGACAATCTCAGCAGCAGCGCTACAAGCTACATCTGTATTAGCTGTTTCCCTCTCTCTTTGTAACGTCTGCTGATGTTGTAATCACTTCGGTATGGCTAGTTATCTCTGATCTATTTGTATAAAGCACTATACAGAGGGGCTGCAAATGGAGACATTTAGTCACCTTCATAATCCAAGTAATACGTGCATCCAGATAATTGCATTCAATGAGATTTATGCTTAAACAAGAGTTAAGTACTCATACCAGATTGATACTTCACTCAAGTAGGTAAGTAGGGACGAGGAAACATAAGAGGTTCTCCAGTTTGCCACATCTGTTGGTCAGTAAGGACAGTACAAGACTCACCATTTTGGACGCTTTCAAGTCTAACTTTGCATAGGACAGCAAGAGCTTTGCTGGGTTATGAATTAGTGCCCCTAGGCACTTTATTCTTGTCAGTGAATACCAGGTGAAGTAACGGATGTATTTCAAGTAAACTTGACTTCAAGTAACTAGCATGTTATTTTCGCTGAACAATTATGAATATTGTTGCTTAACACTAATGATCTTTGTGCGGCTTGTTAGCACACATCCAGGCTGCTGGAAGAGAGCTGCAGTACTGCTTCCCCAGCTCCTGCAATATCCTGTTTTCATGAAAATAGACTCATAATTCATAAAATAAGTTAATAGGGATGGTTTAACCAATTTTTTTTTTTTTTTAAATGTCTGGACTGCATCAGGACAGTGGCAGTTTTCAATTTGAAATGTTTATCTTAACCATGATCTTTGCTCTTCTGAAAATCTTTCCAGTTTGAGTCTTTGCATAGTGCTCACCAGCAAAAACTTCCTGCTTCTAAATTGCCTTTTACCAGCACTCCCATCTAAATTGTATTTCTTAGAGTAGTGATACAACTCTACTTTTCTGAAACTACTGCTCATTCCTTTGGGGACTCTTCCCCAGATGCCAGGTACGTTATTTCTTCAATAAGCTCAGTGTGAAATCTAGGATCCCATGTAACTTTCTGAATTTGGGTTCCCAGATGGTACTGCAGCATGCTGCTAAGCTACTCAATTAGCAGCAAGTACCCTTTGGTAAATAGTTAATTTTAATCTTATTTGAGGATATTGCAGTTAGCTTCATCAGTGTCATACCCAACAGAAATACCTGTAATGCGTGTTGGGCATTGCTGGAGGGGGAAAGAAAGAGACATAATCAGGCTTTTCTCAGGGAGTCAGACAGTTGCATCAGCACTTCAATAAAGCCATTGGTAAATCCAAGGCAGCAGGGAACACTCTGTGCTGTGAGGACATCCAGCACTGAAAGTTTCCTGTAAACTTTCGAAGTTGTTTTTCAATTCAGTAATGGCTAATTTTAACTACTAAACAAGTGTCAGGAGATTGTTTCAAATTGCTTCAATAATGTTATTCTATATTAAGGTTCCCAAAAGTTACAATGAAACTCCCATGGTCATGAGCCTTGTAAGTGGAGTCTGCTGTTTAAAAAGTCACTACCTTTACCAATTTGATTGATACCTCTACCAGTTTCCTTTCATTGGTCTTAGATGGATGCTTCGACATCTGACAGATTAACCTAGTCATTTGTAGGGACAAAAAAATCCCCCGAACAGTCTCACTTCCCTGTCAGCTAGCCATGTTCTTAAACAAAAGAATTTATTTTCTTTGTGACCCCTACAGCAAAATTTGATGTAAAGTGTATAGCTTAGAAGTCAGGAGAATGGAAGAAGAGGCATGAACTTGTCTTTTTTTGATTTCATGTTCTCCACATTTTATCCACTCAATCCTCTCAAAAGTTTTCTACCATCTCACCTCCCTATCTACCTTTACTTCAGCTCTATGGAACAGATTAAGTTCCCAATTCATACATACTGTATGTCTCAACTATATGCCTAAATAAATCAGTGACTTGCTGTAGGTAAACTATTTCAATCTTATACCTCAGTCATATTAAAAACCACAATCTCTACTGCTACTTTTTAGACACACGAAAAGAATATCAATTTAATCTGTGCTACTGTATAGAAATATGTTTTCAAGATACAAAATTTCTTCATCTCCAAGAGTGAAGTAATCATCCCCATGTCAAACATTAAAATAAACCTCTCAGATTGTCAGCAGTAATGGTCACTAGGCTTGTCCTACTCTTTTTGCATTGCTGTATTCTGTTTCACTAATAAGTGTTGACCTACAAATGTTAAAACTCCGCATCCTAGTATGACTAATACACTGTGCGATAAGGGCAGATCTCAGTACAAAGTCCCACTTCTGAAACAAATCTAGATTCACCAGCAACCTCATAATGTAAAGTAAACCTATATTATGCTACAAGTTGTTTCTGAGTCGTTAATCTGCTGCCAAATCTACCCTCACATGAAGTAACGTAGCTTTTTGGCAAACTGCACTTTTTTGTTAAGGTTTAATACCTTAGCTGTGAAAATAACTTCCTTTGCCATTAGGACAAGGAAAGCTTTCAGCTCTAGGGAAACGACCATTAAAACATCTTAACTTGCTTGAAATGGAATGTTATTAAAATACATTTTTTCTACAGTAGGTTCATTTACACTGCATTTAATGGTTTTAACATGTATCAATTACACTGTGCTGATTACAAAGAAGTTACACCACAAATTAGTAGTTCATTTAAAAAGTAATGCAAGTTAATGCTCCATACCATAAGCTGTCACAACAGCTTGCATGGCACTTTTCAGCTCTAAATCTGGAGCACTTTACAAATACATGTTCACACCCACTTTTCAGATAGAGGGACAAGGAAAGATTACATGGCTTTTACAAGTTTCCACTATGACCTTTCAACCAGTCAACAGAAACAGTCCAAAAATCTTCGGAGTTCAGGCCTGACAGGTCAAAGGGATCCTCATCTTAAAGACAATGATTCTCTCAGTGTTACTTCTCAATGGAGCTTAGTCCCGACTGTGCTATTTAGAACCTCCAAATACCCACACAATATACTCTAGAAGACAGGGAAAACATAGGGCCACCCCTGAAAAATGTTGAAGTACATAAAGAGAACACAGACCTTGATTCCTACAGCCCTTGAATCCTCTTCATCTTATTTTCAGCATTCATGCTCTACACAGTCTAAAATTTTCCCATATATTTCCTTCTCTCTTTCAAATTATTTGTCACTAACTGACCAGAAAAAGGTCAAACATGAGCTAAAAGCTGTAACTTAGAAAAACGCTGAACTCTAGAAACAATGCACTTATTTGAGGAGCTCCCATATTCATCAGGAAATGGTTATTAAATTCTGTTTACCCCAAGCAAAAGCAAGAATTCCCAAACTGAGATACCTGTGACCTCTCCACAGAGGTATCTTCTATCAGATGGCAGCGATCTTTAGGGTTATGTGTCTATGTATTTGCTGAATACTATGTGTGTGTGTATATATATATTTTTATATATATATATATATATACACACATATAGCCCTCCCTCCATGGCATGTCGTAAGTTTTACATTTTTACACCACCAACCTTATTTTGCAAAAGCCAAACTCACTAATACCTTAAGTCAAACCTAAGGCTTCAGTATTAAAAATATCACCTAGTATCACCTAGACGACTTGCACCCACTAGTCTCAAGACAGATCGAATGTTTACCGATAGTGCTCCCCCTCCATGCATTAGTGACCACAAATAAAGAAGGAAACAGGCAATTAAATTACAAGGCAAATAGCATAAAGCCTCAAACATTTCAATTTTGAATGGTGGATGCTTGCAGATATTTGATTTAAGAAGAGACACTAAAAGAATGAAAGACTACTTTTTTTTCCCCAGGTGGTTACATTATTTTCTATTAAAATTGGTCTTGTATAAGAATAGTAGATGTGATACTATACAGACAATATAAAAATATCAATAGAATTATAAGCTTTTTCTTGCATATTTCAATAATTAAGACTGCAAAAGCTATCTACCAATAACACTTTGAACAGAATGAAAATTAAAAACATAGCACTAAGAAGTTTATCATGCATCAGAAGCAGGTAGAAGCACAAAGTTGATAAGCTTATGATCTTACATCCCTTGAGCCTTTCGTGAAGCCTCTGGTTTTGACCATAAGGTGAGATGAGCCTGGCTGCTACCAGTTATTCACAAAAGCAATGGGTGCTGCTGACCTTTTCAGAAGCATACTAAGGGTCTGAATACCACTTAGATCTTTGTACCCAAACCATCACTTGAGAACTAGTATACACTTTCTTGTGATCTACTTTTATTTCCTGAATCATGCACAAGGACAATATTGCTCATTAACTCAGTGTGACAAGGGTTTTAAAATGCTACACTGGAAGGAGGCAGTCCAACAAGAACATTCTGGGCTCATCCACTTTTCAAGTTGTACTGCTAAATGAACTTCACAAATTTTTGTCTGCACAGATTTTTATATTCTGTCTACACAGCGTTTGTATACAACTTTCTTTCTGTTTCACTCTTCCTGTTCCTTTAAAAGCCACACTACTGTCAACAGTGAGGCAGATTTTCATAAACCTTAGCCAATACAGAACAGAATGCTTCATGCCTACTAAAACCCCAATGGCTATCTATGAACCATAAGTTATCATATTAATTCTCATTTCATGGTGCAGCAACTACTTTGTCTCACTAGTTCCAGCTGTCCCCTTCCCTCCACCCCTTGTATCTCGTGAAGATCAAAAGCCAAAGAATCAGAGAATACTGTGCAGACCACAGGGGACACTTCAACACTTTTGCAGCACGTCATAAGGGTAGATAGTATGAATTGCTGGCATCACCTACCAGCATTTTCCTAAATTCTCACTGTAACCACTGTAACTTCTTCACAAGAATGATGTGGTCTTCTATTCTACTGCCCAAGCTTCTTAAGTTTTTTTACTTCATAAACATCTTCAATGGCACATGCACATTTATTAACTTTTTGCCAAGAGGAGCCTGTGCAATGTGAAATCATCAGGCTGGTAATATCTCCCAAGTCCTTCCACAAAGCTGAAAAAGGACTGTTTTTCTTTCACAACATTTTATCTTAAAATACCAAGCCTGATATTTTTAAAAAATACATTCAAAATTAGTATTGATAAACTGCCATGCCACAGAAAATATTAATTAAAACCATTAATTACAACCATTCTGTGATTCTGTGAAAACAATTTAAAATTGTCTTCAAAATGGTAGCTTCAGTGCAGAAAAGCCTGAAGACTTAACAAATTATTGCCACAGTTAGAAACGCTTGATTAGGTAGTGAGATAAGCAGGACAACAGAAGAACAGTTTCTAAAAGTTAGATTTATGTTTAAAAAAAAAAAGGAACAAAGCTTTTAAGTACAGATTTTATAATTTTTTTCACCATAGAACAAAAAGGTGTATTAACAGGGCACCTCAGAGAAAGTCACTGGAAGAGCTATGGAAATTTGCTTTTATACAGTAGGAAGCTAGTAGGAAATACTGTAGCAATCGAAAAGAGATTTTAATATAGTAATAACATGTACCAGTTCTTACTTCCAGTTAAGTTAGTCTTTAGTTATTATCACCAAATAGTCCAGGAAACAGTGTTCCCCAGAAAACAATTTAAAACTCAAAGGGACTGGACACTTATTTGTTAATCAGAACAAATAGACATACAAAAGTAACAAACTCACCAGCTACAGATTTGCTCATTCCCAGAGCAATTTTTTTCAGGTGAAATGGGGTACAGCTTATCTAAGCTAAGAGAAAAAACTGATTTCACAATAACATATAGTACCTGCAACATCTTCTGGATCCGTTACAACAATGTGTGCGTTTAACTCCTGTAACTTATGATGCAAATCTTCTAACTTCTTATTCGATTTTTTCAAAATGTTGTCCACATATGCCAAGTTCTTTTTATCTGTTGTGACCTTCCTAAGGTTCTCTGCTCCCTCCTTGATTTTAAGTTCCTTCCTTATTTCCCGCTTGATTTGGTCCTTTATTTCATCCAGCTTCTGCTGTACCATAGTATCCGAAAAGTCCAACTTTTGGCCAGTGCTCACATTCTCAGAGGCTAGAAGACTTTTGGCATCCCCCTAGAAAGAAAAACAGTAATATAACTACCAGGAAACACTGTTTCTTGACAACACATGCTGCAAACTTAAAATGACTAGGCTTTAGGCCTCTGTATATTAAACACTCGCTTTGTAAGACCATTTACTAACCATAGGTCTATGCTCATGTTGCCCTAAAGCAGCAATCTCACAAGACATTACATGTTCACTGGAGTTATATTTTACAACAGATTTATTTTAAATTTAGTGACATCTTTACTATACCTATTTTTAACAGCAAGAGATTTAAATACTTCTGGATTTGTCATGGCTGCTTGCCTGGCAGCTATATGCCTCAGAGCTAATGACTCACATTTGTAATTTTATAGATTTAATTGCGTGTTTTAATAGACCAAATGGATATAGGAAATAAGTCTAACTTCTAACAATTATTAACTAAGATGAATTTTTATACATTCATTAGAATATATTCCTTTAAAAAATTGTAAAAAAGTTACGTTAAAAAAACAACTTAGTGATGTTTGCAAGGGTTTAAATAAATACTGGCATCCTTATAAAGATTCATCAAGATGTTACTGGAAAATAATTTTTTTTTTAAATCCCTCAAGTAAAGCCTTTCACTTTAAAAAATAACAATTAAAAGAAACCTTGCTTTCTTGTGTAGACGGAAATGAAAAAAAAAAAAGTTGCAGTGATAAGTAGCAGCTGGTATAGTAAGGGAGCCTGGGATGAAAAGTCCTCAGACCACCAGTACAGATGAGGTTGTGTCTGTGCCTAGTATATGCCGACGTATCACTAAGTAAGAGAATGAAGGGCATGTTATAGAACCTCTATCAATAAAGTACAAATACAATTAATTACTTACATAGTAGCACTTCCTGTGCATCTTACACGTGGAGCCTGTACGAGCAGACACTAGGTCCTACCCAAGAAGTCTTTGTTGGAGCTAAGTGAGTGAAGATCAAAGAAAGGCTCTCCTGAACTTGGAATCTGATCCAGTTACAATTCAGGGTACATTTAGTAAATGTGTGGCCCCATCTATATGTAACTACCCAAAAGACCAGAACCCCAGTAAATTTTCTTAAACACAATGAAGAAATTGCCTAGACTTTAGAAATAGTTGTGTGGATGTAGGTATTTGAAGGATAATTAAAAATTTGAAAGTTTTACATGTAATATTAGTTGTCATCACTGTTTGCTGTTGGAAGCACCAACAATAGAGCAGAGGAAACAGTAGAAGAAAACATTCAGGAGGGAGTTGAAGAAGCACAGCAACAGGCTAATAAACTGTAAGAACACCCAAGAACACATGATCTCTAGATACAGTCCACAGTGACTTGCTTGTTTTCAAAAGAATTTGGGGAAATGAGGATCAGGAAAGTTGTGCCTGGCACACACGTGTCAGCAGATAACGCTGGTCAAACTGCTTCAAATCTGTGCATATTCCAGTGATACTGCCTTCCATAAGCAAGATCCAACCTACTAGCTCTCAACTATAATTTTACAAGTTTACTAAGTCATCTTTAAATCCCTCTTATTAAAACATTTCTACCCATAGCTGCTACTATTAGTACAAAAAGTTTGCAACTCAAAGATTCTTAAACATTAAAAGTAGTTGGAATCACCATCTTGAATTTGTCTATCAGTGAAAAAAACAACAAGCAATTCAGAAATTACAAACTGAGTAACAGAGGGGAAAACATCATGCAAATTTATACTTAGAGTGCACTTGTGATTCCTCCAAGTACATTTCTGTTAGTGCAGATAAAAATAAATAATTTATTATGCATATATAGAGAGGCTATTAATAGTTGTACTGGGAAATACAGGACATTGTTTCCATATATAGGCACATAAAAAGAAGCAAAACTATTTTTTAAAGAATAATCAAGTGATGAGCAACTAGTACAAAGGTTCATATACATAATGAAGGAAACCAACCACCATGTGTTGAGTGTTTTGTTTTGAGAAACAACTGAAACTGAAGATAATTCCATACAGCAATTGTATAACAAAGTATTTGCTTAAGTAATAAGTATATCCAAATTAGATTCAGATCTTTGATTCACCTGTTTAACACATAAACATTTAGGATGTAAAAAAAGAGCCTCAAGATTAGTATACTACTATTTAGCCTTTAAAAACAGAGATCAAAACAGTGTTTGTAAATAAAAAGTGTATTTTTAAACCATAATCCTTTGCACTTGTTTTGCAAGCTTCCTAGAAATAAATTCATCATCTACCTCCTTCAAAGAATGATACACTTTCCAAAGTTCACAGGAGAAAGACAAGTGGTAAATGTGCAAAAAAACCCAAAACAAAACCCAAAGCCCCCTCCAACCCCTACAAACAATGCCAAGCCCAAAAGAAAACCTTTATTCCATATTCCAACGGCACTTGAAGTATGCTAAAATTATGCCAAGAATGTACACTTCTCAAACAGAACAATGTAATTAAAACATAAATAATTCAGAAATATTCTTGACTAGGGTTTCCCAAAGAGACTCCAGTTAATTGTTTATCTATTGAACTATAACGTATCTTGTTACAGCAGAGGTTTTCATCCTTCTATAGGCCCTATGTCCCACCTGTTAAAGGGATGTTATGTTCTTCCACAAACAGGCTTAGGGAGCCCTTGTTTCAGGTACAGAGCCTCTACAAGTCTTCAGTTAAATTAAATCTCCATGATCATTAGTAATTTGCATTCCAAATTTCCAGTAATTAAGTTAAAGTTCTCCCCAGCTTGAGCAGTCTCAGCAGCATCTTTGTCCCTGGACTTAAGGGTTTCAGGGTACAGAGTTATCTTCTTCAGTCTGCTTCAGAGACAGCTACAAGTTCAATAATAGCACTGGAAACCCGTCACATTCCCCATGCATTCAAGCATTAATCTTTAAATCTCCCCAAAAGCCACAGATGATACTCCCTCTGTTTCTCCTGTCATCCAGAGTTAATTATACTTCGAACTAAAAGTATCCGGTCACCCAGTTACCTAGACGTGTCACTTAGCACAAAGGTCACCGTGAAACAACCAGTCCTCCAAGGAGGCAACCGTGCACTCGGCGACCCTGAAGGTCACTGAATGCAGAGCGAGAGCCTGTTCTGCAAGCAAAGCTGCTCCTGCACTGACACATTTTGCTGCTGGGGTGCAATGAAGGTTTGAGACTGATCCTCGTGCCGGAGAGGTGAGCAGCCTCAGCAATGTTCCATTTTAAAATGGAGATGATGCCAAGATGGATATAACTGGACAGAATGTCTAACAGTTGAGTAAGAGAAGTGAGGCAGGAATCTTCTTTAAGAAAAGCACCTCCCAAAACGCCAAACTCAAACACTACTATTATACCTAGAAATTACTTAAAACACAGGATATTCCACCTTTATTTGATGACAACATATTACAAGTTTATTGTTAGAGCTGAATATTCTTTCAAAAATTTCTTATAAACTCCCTCCCAGGTTGAGCGCCTCACATCCATTAGGACACAGGTGTTCTGTCTCCCTAACCTGAAAATCAAGTACAACAAAAGAAACAACGGTTGCAGGAAGGCGCCAGGTCCTTTCCTTTGCACTGCTCAAGCAGGCAGGGTGCAAGGACTGAAGAAATCGTTCACGTTCTCTATGCCAAGAAACCATCAATGGATTTTGCACAGCCACTTCCTTTACTCTCCCTCCCAGAATCATTTAACAGAAAATATCTTAAGAGTGGAAATGCTCTGAAGCAGATAATGACTAAACCACTCCTGCTGGCCAGTTATTGATTCTCAGTTCCTTTTGTAATTCTGGTAGTGGGCTGACTGCTGATTAAGAGAGGAGCCAATCCTTGTTGAGTGGTCCCAGGACTGGACCACTTGGCATAGCATCCTTCTCTCCCTCGCGCCACAGCAGGCTGCTCGTGACCCAGTTCTTTGCCCCAGCAGCAGCAAAGGCCAGCCGGCACCGGCTGCTGCTCCAGCAACCTGTGTCTGGACTGGAAGGAAAGCAATTAGAGGCAGTGCTGCATATTTCTTTGCAATGGGAAAATACATGTTTATGAGCCAGAGTGGAGATTTCTGAAACATTTCAGCATGTAATGAAACTGAAGCTATGTTTACTACAATAAACTATCAAGGACCACAAATTAGATACTAGTGCTTAAAAAAAAAAAAAGAAAAAGGAACCCACATATAGAGCTTTCCTACTGCAATGGCCTAATGACTCAACCTCACTTTGATTGCTGGCTCAAAGACTATCTATTTACACAGATGACTTCAAGATGCCAGCCTTCAATTTCTGTACTCCTGGGAAATGTTTTAAATATAGTTGCCAAAAATAATGGGTAGTGGTTCTGAGCATGTCTTTTAATAATATACAGTCTATTCTGGCTGATGTGGTAAAAGAAAGTAGTAATGTTGAACCCACAGGGGCTTCATGCTTTTTCCTCAGGTCAATTCTGAACCAAGTAATCAGTGAAGCAGGTGCCTTGCAAAACTGCATTTCCCACCCAAATTCCCAATTAAGAATAAACCATCTAAATTTCTGAATGATGGAAATGGTACTGCTGAATAGAAGAGAATACCATGAAGCTGAACCTATCAGAGAATCTGCTTAGTTGTGTAAACTGAGTGACTTCCAATCCAAAATGAGATTCTCAAATTGCCACCTCTTAGAAGAAAAAGATAACATTAAAATCCTGAGCATTAGTAACTCCCAAAGACGTGCTCCTAAGAGCACAGCACAGCTGCATGGTGTCATACCATGTATTCACCAAAGAGAATACGAAATAGGGCAAGAATTTAGATTGCTGACTTCTAGTAGGAATTGTTACAGAAAGGTAAATGGAGCCTTAAACTACAGCATGCTTAACAGCTGATGAGTACTCATGCACAATATTATTTACACTTCACATTGACTTGCTACTAGCACACACTCAACCTGCCTTTAGAAAAAAAAAAAAAGACCATATCAAAACTCACAGTAAAACTGTGAATATTTTTTCCTAAAACTATTAGCATTCATTTTTATATGCTCTTGAATTTTAGTAACCA